ACCCCCCCCTCCACTGACCACACCACTCTCCCTAACGCATGCTCCAGACCGAGGCAGGAAAGAAGAGAGCCCACCACTCCGTCGCGCCCTCCACCGCTTCCTCTGCCTCAGCCGCCTTTGCCTCTGTCGCCTCTGTCGCCTCTACCGCCTCTGCCGCGGCTTCCCGCCACACCCGCCACCGCTGGAGTGTCCGGACGGTTCTCATCGTCGCCCTCGTTGTCGCAGCCGCCTGCTGGGCCCTGGGCATGTATCTGCTGTACTCGACCTGGCATTACGTCATCGCTCGCAAGCAAGTCGAGCCAGAGTACACCATCCCTGGTGAGGACCTCGTTGCCCGCGCCGTCGAACGCGCACAGGGTGCCTGATCGCTCCTATGCCCTCGCCGCTTCTTGCAACTGCTCTCGCAGAGCCCGCCATCCTCGTCTGGACTCTTCTCGCTGCCCTGCTTCTTGCCCTCCTGCTCTTCCGACCGCAGGGCCTGCCCCGGCTCCCGCCGCCCTCTCCGCCCGCCCGGCAGCAACCCGACTCTCTCTCGCCTGCTCCTGTGCTGCCGTCTTTGTCGTCCATGGACGACGCTCTGCCAGGCTCATCAAGCACTCCTAGCCGCGCGCTTCGTAATCAGCGCAAGCGAAAGCGAAAGCAGCGCCGCAAACAGCGCCGAAAGCGAGAGGATGCTGGCGTCACAATCGACCCGGCCACCCCCAAACCACCTCCGCTCGAGCCGGACTCGTCAGTCCCAAGCCCAACACCTTCTCCGCCGCCATCTCCCACTCGACAGGCAACTCCGCCCCCACCTGCATCGAGTGCCGACTCGCCGCGGGCTCCCGAGCCGGAGCCGGATCCTGAGCCGGAGCCCCGGCCAGGATCGCCGTCGCAGCCGGCAGCAACTGCGACGTCGAGCTCCAAACTCGAGGCTAGCGCGCCCGAGTGGCGCCCTATGCCGCAAAAGGTGGCGGCCCGATCGCCGTCGGTTCTTACAGTCGGTGCTGTCGCCACTGCATTTGAGAAGCGTAAGTACGACAAGGTGCTCGGAACGCTGCAACTACTGCACAAGGTCCCCTCGGGCGCATACACACTTCTGGTCCTCTCCGACTCGGTCTTCTACCAGGTCGGTGAGGGCCACGCCGCCCACTGGAACTTTGTTCCTGTTGGCACCGCCGTCCTTACTGTTGTGCCTTCGGTGTACGGCGGCTACATCGACGAGCCGCCTGTCCTCAAGTCGCTGCCCGGCCTGCCGGTCATGGGCGAGCCAAGACTCCTCTCGCGCGCCCTGGCTGACTCGGTGACGAGCAACCACTCCTCGCTTCCACCCGCCCGCACCCTCACGCGCACGCTTCTGACCTCGCTCACCAGCTCGGCGTCAGCATCGCGGACTTCGGTCACCGACCTGGTCGACTCGTTCGCCTTTCCTTGGGAGGCCCTGGCAGCGGTTGTCAAACTCTCGGCTGACTTGGCGACAAGCAATTATCTCGACGTCACCGCCCGGCTCGCCGGCTCAAACGCCATTGCCGGCGGCGCGCCAGCGTTCCAGCTCGCCTCGCTCGGCGGCTCGCGCTCGGTTGCCGCCCCATCGTCGTCATCGGGCCTCACCTCGCTCGCCTCGGGCGGCTCGATGTTCTCCGACGACGGCCTCTGGTCGTCGTTTTCGCTTTCACTCTCTTCGCACTCGAACGACAACTCGTCGTCGTACTCGTCGTCGTCGTATCATCCCGGGTTTGACGACGGTGCCGCCTCCGACGAGCGCCCCGCGGATGTACCGGCAGTCCCAGTAGCGGCACCCTACACCGCACCGCCCACTATTGACGTTGGACCCTGGAGCACGCGGTCATCCTCGGGCTCATCAGTCCCCTCACCGGCGCCGTCATTTTCGCCTGTCCTCTCGCCGCTGGCCGCCCATCACGGCCCGCCGGTGGTGCTGAGCGCCCAGCAGCTGTCATCAGCCGACTCGCTTATTGGCGCATCGGGCTCGGACTCGCTACCGTTGATATCCGAGTCGTCAGAAGAGATCGGGCTCGGGCTCGGGACGCCGCCGGCTCGGGCCGAGTCTCCGCATGTGTCGAGCGAGGAGGGCACGAGCTGCCGGCCGCCGTCTGTCCACCAAGCCATCCGACGTGCGCTGAAGCAGATGACGCTGGAAACAAGCTCGCTCCGCGAGCTCGTCGAGACCTACATGGTTCTGGCATTCGAGCAGACTGTCTCGCTCGAAGCCACCGCGCCCGAGAATCAGCCACAGGCCGTGGCATGGTCGCGCGCGCTGCGGCAGCATCTTGTCAAGCTCTTTACCAAATGGATGTGCACTGGTGCTGACAGCCTCAACGACGCGGCACCGTATCTTCTCGCGCTTGTCCTGTACGGGTATGTTGCGCAGGTTTCGGCGCTGATGCGGGAGCCGCCGGCTGACGACGACTCGCTTGCGTTGGCCCGCGCCGCCTTTGGCAGTGACCACGTCGCACACATCCGAGCTGCTGTGGGGCGTGTCGAAGCCGCTGCCCACAACATCCGCGTGGCCGGCCCGGCTCGCTCGCTGGTCTTTGAATGGGAACGCAGCAGCACTGGTGCGGATGGACTCGAGGGCCCGACCCGAGCCGCCATCGGCTGCGCCGAGGTGCTTCAGGCCTTTGGCCCTGTACTTGCCGAGCTGCTGGAGAGTCTCACCACCTCGATGAGCTCCAGCTCGAGTTCGCGGGCCGACGCTGGATTCGTAGCTACTCACACTCAGACACTGGCATTTTGTCTTGCACATGTCGACACGTTCCACTCGTGGAGTGAGGCTAGGGCCGCCGTCGTCGCTGCTGAAGCCAATGCGCTTGCTGCAGTGTGGGCCCGCGGCGGCAGCGTGGCTCTCCCAACGTTTCCTCGGACCGACGTACCGCCGCAAGTAGCCGCGGGCTCATCCGCGTGCCTCGAGGCCACAGCCACGCTCGGTGCGCTCGTTACCGCCGGCACAGCCGCGCTGCGGCCCGATGCGGAGCTGCGGCCTGTTGCCCGGGCCGCCGTTGTCCGCATGGCCGCCCGTCTGAGTGTGGTCGACCCCACAGTGGTCGGCCAGATGGCGCCGCTGGTACAGCGCTGGGAGAAGGGACTAGAAGCCGGTCTGACCCACATGGCGGCGCTCCCGCCTGTGGTCCAGGTAGCGCTGGCATGGGCGGCGGCGCTGTGCGCGATGCGGCATGAGCGGCCGTTAACAACGCTTGTCGAGCCTGCCTTTACCTGGCTCTCGCACTTTGCGGTGGCGGCACCGTCGATTTTCTACCCGCTTGAGGCCGAGTGGAGCTCTGTGCTCGAGCGGTACGAGTTTGTCCACCCGGACTCGTCCTATTTGCTGTTCCCGGCTCGCGCGCGCGAGCCTGGGCTGCGGCGCTACATGCCGCTCAACTACAAGCTGCGCGAGCTGGTTGTGCTCAGCCTGATCAACGTGTCGAGAGCCGGGCTAGAGACGGCACTGCCGCTTGTCTCGGCCGTCAACGCGTACAACGTCCCACACGTTGTTCGCGCGCTGCTCTGGCACGTCCGCGCCGCAGGCCCGCTCCCGGCCACTGGAGACGCTCTCGGCGAGCTCCAGCGTTGCATCCTTGCGGCACTCGCCACCGCCGACAATGTTTGGCGCTTTGCGGCGGCGGCAGCGGCAGTCTTTGCCGACGCCGGCTTCGCCAGCCTTGGTCACCGGCCGGTTCTCGCCAAGTACCTCCGCGGCGGAGGGTTGTAAAGCTTCAGGCCGCGAGTGTCGATGCCGCGGACGGGAGACGGGGCGCCGGTCGGGCCCGTGATGGTTCCCGGTGCGCGGGCGGCGAGGAAGCGCGAGGTGATCGGGGACCGCGGCGTGTGGCTCAGTGACGCCCGGAGCCGCGGCGGATGGAGTGGTGAGCGCGATGGTGCTGCCGCCGCTGCATACGCCGACGCCAGCGCCGCCAGCATGGGCCGGCCCGTCGACTGCTCCGCCCGACGCAGCCGCCGCGCGTCCTCTGCAGCAGCACGATCCGCCAGGGCGCGGGCGTTGAGCCGCGGCTCCCAAGAGCGCAGCGCCCGGCGCTTCCGACGTAGCGCCTTGTCGCGGGCGAGATACCCATCATCGCCGTCTGCTCGTGCCGCATCAAACAGGTCCAAGTCGGCCAGCGGCACGTCGTTGGGCCGCGGCCTGTCCGGGTCGAGCAGCGTTTTGGCGCCCTCGGCCACCGGGCCCGCCACCGTGTCCATAGGTCGCGGGGTGGAGCAGCAGTGGGTGGGTGGGGTGGCGGTGGTGGTGGCGGTGGCGTGTCTGGGCTGGCGAGGGCAAGTTGTGCGTGAGTGGCATGAAACGAAACGGTCGCCGGAGTCATCCGCTGGGCAAAGACCGGCCGCCGGCCGACTGGCCGACAGCCGCGTCTCGCGCCGTCGGTGGCAGGCGGTAGGTGCCGGCAGTCCCTGGTCTCAGGGTGCAACCGGCACCCCTACCCTCTACACGCCGGCCATGGCAGAGGTGCGGATGCGGACGGCAAAGGCGGGCGAGGTCGTGGTGGCGGTCCCGTCGGCGCTGCTGGGCTCTGTGGCGGTGGCTGAAGGCGCCGAGGTGGCCGCAGGCACGGTCCTTGCCACTCTGGTGGTGATGAAGATGCAGACCGAGGTCGTGGCCCACGCCCCGCTGCGCATCCTTCGCTGGGGCCCAGCCCTGGCTGCTGCCCTCGATCCGGCCACCTACTCCTTCCTGCCGCTCCCACCCGACCTGACCGTCCCGCTCGCTGCCGGCGACGTACTCTTTCGCTTCCGTCTCGTGGCCGAGGTGCCGCTCCCGCCTCCCGCGCCTTCTGTGCCTTCTTCACCTGCGATGTCGTCGCCTCAAGCTGTGGGCCAGGCAGAAGAGGATAGGCCATGGGACGCAGCGCTGCTGCGGATGGCGGAGATACGCGAGCGGGCACTCGCCATGGGTGGGGCGGCAGCTGTGGCCAAGCAGCACGGCAAGGGCAAGGGCGATGTGCGTGGACGGATAGCGACGCTGGTGGACGACGGATCGTTTGTGGAGATTGGATCGCTGGCGGGCGCTCTCTCGCGCGATGGTGCCTCGTTTGCGCCCGCCAACTTTGTGTGTGGCCGCGGGCGGGTTGGCGGACGGATAGTCGTGGTCGGCGCCGACGACTTTACCGTTCGTGGCGGGCACGCCGATGGCGGGGTTGTCCGCAAGCAGATGATGGCCGAGAAGATGGCTTACAGGCTGCGACTTCCGATGGTGCGCCTGCTGGATGGGTCGTCCGGTGGCGGGTCGGTGGCATCGCTGCTCAAGCTGCCGGCCACGTACGTCCCGCCGCTGCCGGCCTTCCGAACCAAGGTGGCGCTGCTGAGGCGGGTCCCGGTGGTTGCCGTCCTCCTCGGGCCGGTGGTGGGTTTTGGCGCTGCGCGCGCCATGGCCTCGCATTGCCGGATCATGGTTGCCGGCACCTCACAGCTATTTGTGGCTGGCCCGCCGGTTGTGGCTGCTGCCACCGGCCTGCCTCCGCCGACCAAGAACGAGCTCGGCGGCGCGGCTGTGGCCGGCGCCAACGGCTCGATCGACATTGTTGCAAGCTCTGAGGACGCAGCGTTGGCCACCGCTCGCGATTTTTGTCCTTTCTTCCGCGCGCAGCCGGCTGTCCGCTCCCGATCACGCCGTATGCGTGTGCGGGTGGTGAGAGTGAGCTGCGGCCTGCGCTACGGACGGTGATTCCGGGTTCGCGGTCGGCGAGCTACAACCCATTTCTCATACTGGCGCTTGTGCTCGATGCTGGGTACGACACGGCACCAGCGTGGCTCGAGCTGGGCAGCGGATACGGCCGGTCACTGCGGAGCGGGCTAGGGCGGGTCGGGGGCGTGCCTGTGGTGTGGCTGGCGTCGGACCCGCGGTTTGACGGCGGCCTGCTGACGGCGCTGGCAGCGGCCAAGCTCAAGCGCGCTGTGCAGCTTGCCGAGGTCTTTGGCCTTCCTGTCATCTCGCTCGTCGACCAGCCAGGCTTCAACATTGGGCTTTCCGCCGAGGCTGAGGCGACGATCCTGCACGGGACGGAGGCACTCGTAGCGGTGTTTGAGGCCGCACCGCGACTGGCATGGCTCTCGATCATTGTGCGCAAGTGCTACGGCGTCGCTGGTGGCGCGCTGCTAGACCATTCCGACCACCTCCGACTTGCGTGGCCGTCGGGTGATTGGGGCTCGCTTCCTCTCGAGGGCGGCCTACAGGCGGCGTTCAAGGCCGTCCTAGCCGGCCAGCCGGCGGCGGCAGCCGAGGCCCAGATTGCGCAGTGGACAGCAGACATTGAGCGGATTCGAGACCCAATTCGTACTGCTACAGTGGCTGGCATCGACGAAATCATTGATCCAGCTTCGACGAGACAGGCCATCCTCGCGTGGCTGGAATGCGTCGAACACATCTTCCCAGCATGTGGTGAGAGCCGCATCGACGACGAGACGCGGATGTGGGCCGACGAGGCCATCATGTTCTCAGGCATGGACGCCAAGCTGTAGCGCAGCACAGTGCGGTGTGTGGGTGTGGAGGGGAAGCTCAGCTCGGATCATCAGCGGCAGCCGGCGCTGGCGCCGGCGCATCGGCACCCTTGGCGTGGTAGTGCTCAACCGAGTCATCGACCACCGGGGCGCCAAGCTGGTAGCAGTGCTTGTGGACCGAGGTGTAGCGGTTCTCGTGGAGAATAGACGACGAAGATGTGCGGCAGAGCGTGAGGCAGAGCTCAAAAGAGTCGGAGACGTGGGTGAGCTTGGGGACAGTCGGGGTGTGGGCGCCCTGGCGTGCCAGCCGCGGCGGGTGGCCGTCTGCAGTCTCGAGCACAGATCGCAGGTAGGCGAGCGAGTCCGGGAGCAGACAGCATGCGACGCAGTGCTCGAAAGTGGCGCAGCACGAGGCGTCGGGAAGACAGGAGGCGCAAGCTGCGGTGGCCGTGACGTTGTGGGCGCGGCAGCAGCCGGGGCGCTCGGGGTCGAGCTCGGCGCGGCGGCAGACAACGCCACGATCGTCGGTGACGTAGTCGCGGCCTTGGCGGGTGTTGCGACAAGTGCGAAGCTGCGCAGCATCGGGCAGCGCGTGGCGGTCCGACTCGGGCGCTGGGCCCCACTGGATGGTCCGCGGGCGCGGCGGGACGCGCGGAGAGGCCGCGGGAGCCGACGCGGCGCGCATGTCGCTGTAGACCTTGACGACCACAAGCAGCATGCAGGCGATGAGGCCGACCTTGACGTGAAACATCCGGCGCTTCGACCGCATCTCGCGCTCCTTGACCAACAGCTGGCGCACGCCCGGCCGGTCTGCAGGCAGCACGGCATGGGCCAGCGGAGAGGTGAGCGGCTCCGGCACGGCCCCGGGCACCACACCCACAAGCGGCAGGGCCAGGGCCTCGGACGGCGTGTACGAGTCCATGGCATAGAGCCCACGCGGCTCGGAGCGGTTGCGCCGCAGTGGGGGGGGGGGGGGGGAGGGAGGGAGGAGGAGGAGGAGGAGGAGGAGGAGGAGGAAGGAGGAGGAGGGAGAGGAGGAGGAGGAGGAGGA